CACTGCAGCATTATTTACAATAGCTGAGCTATGGAAGCAACCAAGGTGTCCACTGATGAATGGATAAAGATGTGGACATATAAAATGGTATATTATTGAGCAATAAAAAATGAAATGTTGCTCTTTGCAACAACATGGGTGGAACTAAAGGGTATTAAGCTAAGTGAAATAAGACAGAGAAAGACAAATAACTGTATGATTTCACTTATATGTGGAATCTAAAAAACAAAAATGAATAAACAATCTATAGCTTTAGAGAACAGGCTTATGGTTAACCAAAGTGGGGAGAAGAAAGGGCAAATGGTTGAAATTTTTAAAAATAAAAATTACACAGATTTGTTTTAACAAGTGGTACCAGAAAAACACAGCACAGTTGATAGTGCCAAGGCTGAGAATTTGAGGCTAGATGAATTTTAAAGGGAGAATGTTGATAAACACTCATGAAGACGGAGCCCTGATTTACTCTAACAATGTTCCGGAAATTAGAGGAAGCCAACAAAGGAGGTCAACAGGCTGGTAGTGAGGTGAAAACCAAGAAAGGTCTTGAAAGCAAGTGAAGAGGATAAAGGTGGTCAGTGAACTGTATTAAGTGCTGTTACTTCAGATGCTTCTCATGGATCGGATATTAAACTTACGAATTTAATAACAGGAAGGACTGTCATTGATGATAGAGTTTTTATAGAATTGATGAGGGTAAGATTCTGGTTAGAATGGACCAAGGAGATACTAGCAGAGTTTTGCAGTGAAGAGATTCAGAGAAATGGGGTCGGGGGTGACTGTGTAGAGAAGATTGCCTTTTATATTCTTTTAAGCTGGGAAGTACTACACAGAGTGGGGCAAAAGTGGGTTTACAGTTGTGAGTACATGAAAGTTTATTATTATTTATTACTGGTTGTATTATTTTCCATATGAATAACTGTAAAGCTACTTTTGCCCCACCCAGTATATATAGCACGTTTGTATTCTAATGGCAGCGATCCTGTTCAGGGTGGAGAGGGACTTGATTTAGGGGGAGAGTAGGAGGTAATCGTTTTATAGCAAAAAATACACAAGGGAAGACGCAGTCATCACTAGCTTTTGATCCCCAGTATAGGTTTAATAAATAGATGAATAGACAAGCACTTCCTGACATGAACTAAAATGTGAGGGAGAAAGGTTTCTTTTTCTCAGCTGAGAGCGGTGGCCTTTCCTTGTTAGTAGGAGTGGCACCTTCCCAGCCCATCGGAAGGGCGTTTCGTGTTCAACCTTTTCGGAAGTGGAGAGACAGCCCAACATCTCTGCTTCAGTGAGATGAATCATAATGTGCTTGAGAGTTCTTCCAGAGCTGGGGCAGTGTGATGAAGCGCGTCCTCAGATGGTAATTTCAATTCATACACGTTAACAGCTGCCTTTTGGACTCCCTAATTATTAGGTAACCTGTCCCAGATCCCAACCCAGCCCGTCCTAAACACACCCTGCTTAGAGCAGAGCTGGGTGCTTAGAGGGGGTCCCCGTATCATTTCCCTCAGAAGATCAAAGCTGAATGTGGGACCTAATTCTTGAATGGGACATAAAAAGTAGCTGCTGTGTATTCAAGCTAGATTTAAAACAAAAACAAACCTGAAAACTATTTAGGCACGTTCTCCACTCCTTGTACTTCCGAGAAAGTGAAGGGACTTTCCTCTGTGTTGTGATTACTGAGTGCTTTATAACAAAATACCCCACCACTTGGTGGCTTAGAGCAAAATCAGTCATTGATTTGACTCCCAAAGGAGCAGTTTTGGCTGGGTTTAATGTGAACACCGCGGGAGCAACTTGACTGGGTCTGGAGAAGTGACTTCCAAGAGGGCTTACTCACCTGGCTGTGTAATTGCTACACGCTTCCGCAGGGGAGTGCAGCTGGTGTCTCAGTTCCACTCCCCATGGGCCTGTCCGCAGGGCTACTTGGTAGATGGGTTTCAAGACCAAGTATTTTAAGAAAAACAAAAGTAGTCAGTTTTTTTTTAGGGTCCAGGCCCAAAACTGGCCCAGTGTCATTTCTCCCATATTGTAATGGTCAAGCAGTTCCCGCTCGCCCAGAGTGGAGGGCCACAGGTCCTGCTGCTTGATGGGTAGAATTTCAAAGAATTTGTGAATTTATGACTCAATCTACTACACACTGTCATCCCAGAAGGGGAAAAATGTCAGAGCACGGTTTTCTTCTCCATGTTCGCTTTTTTCCTGAGGAACAGGGATGACCTGGTTGTTGAATATTGTGGAACTAGGTACGCTTGACAGAGCCCCTCTCACTTGGGAAAGTCTCTCCAAAAGGTGGCATGCATTGTAGCCTGCTGTCCCAGTGTGCGGTAATAAGCTTGGCTCGGCCCCGTGGTTCTCTTGTTTGCTAAAAACTGTGCTGATATGGATGTAACAGAACTCACTACTGTATGCATTTTAAAGTACATTCACAGTGTCGTGCAACCACCGTCATCAACCAGAACTTTGTCATCACCCAGAGAGGAGACCCTGTAGCCCTTAAGCAATCACCCTTACCTCTGTGCCCAGCCCCTGGCAACCTCTAGTCTGCGTTCTGACTCTGGATTTATATATTCTGGATGTTTCATATAAATGGGGTTGTGTGGGTGGCATTTTTGTGTGGGTTCCATCACTTAGCCTGTTTCCTGGTTCATCCACATTGTAGCATGTGTCAGTACTTCCTCTCCTTTTACAGCTGAATGATATTCCACTGTATGAATGCACTGCACTTTATTCCTTAACCTGCTGATGGACACCTACATCATCTGCATATTGTGAATAATGCTGCTATAACATCTGACTTGACCTGGTCAAGGGCTGGGGAGGGGTGGAAGGAGACCCTGGCAGTGATTCAGGAGGAAGACTCCAGACAAACTCACAAGGGGTTCATAAGCTCCCCCACAGTCAGAATAACAGGAGTGGGAGTTTTTGTCCTATGGCCACGCTCCCTCAGACTCCAGGAAATGACAACTATAGCAAGAGCTCATGTTCGTTGGGTAGTTTGTGTGTTAAGCTTTAGTTCCAGCACTCTGCAGGTATTATCTCAGTTATCACAGTCTCATGGGATAAGTGGTGTCCCCACTTTATAGGAGAGGGAACTGTTTAACCCAAACTTTTGCAGTGGAGGGGGACAAGTTGGAAAGTCCTGCTAGAAGGGGTTGTAGGTGGTGTTTGAAGGGTTGAGGAAATCTTTCAATGGCATCTGTTTTGAGCCATTTCAAACAGTTCTCACTTTCTCCTTCTTCCCAGTTCATAGAGGCTGGGCGAGGGTGTGGTCAGGGCTGGGTGGGGAGCAGCATTCCACTGCCCTTGACCCAGGGAGCAGCATTCCACTGCCCTTGACCCAGGGACGTGACCCTTGGCTGCTCGGAGGGGTTCTCAGGACCTGGAGAGCAGTTTGCATTTGCTGTATCCCCTCTGGGCCACCAGAGGGCAGAACTTCTGCACACCCTGGCCTCCCTCCCAGCTTGGGAACAGAGCAATAGTAGTACTTAACCCCACCAGACTCAATGCCTTTTAAAAAAACAACTATTAATACTTTCTAATGTCCCCTTTAATAAAGCTCACCCAAGCAAATAATACATATGATGCCCTATCTTTAAAGAACAAAAGGGAAGGTAATGTGTAATAAGTGAACGGGCTTCGGTGTGCAGGGGCTGCACTAGACAAATGTGTTGCAGTAGGTGAGTGCTGGTGCCCTTCGGTGGGTCACTGGATGAAGAATTCCAGGGCAGCTGGGCGTTTGTGTGTTGGATTCACAACAGATGCAGTGTGATTTGTTTTGAAATGATAAACAACTCTTGTTAAAAATAAAATGGAATACAATTGTCCCTTTGTTACATTCTTGGAAATTTCAGTGAATATTAAAACTGCAAAAAAGATTTCTATTTATGTATAAAAAAGTTAGATTTTGTGCTCCTACAGTTATAAACAGGTTTTTTCATTTGACCCTACATGAATGTCCAGCGGGATATTTGAAAACCAATTCTTTTTTGTGGGTGACGAGCTGTCTTCCGTTAGAACTCCAGCCTGTACCTGAGGACATGAGATGCCCTATCTTTCCACCACAAGGTTAAGCCACCTGAGAGCCAGGGCTTTGTGTTGCAGGTACTCAAACCCTCCGGGGTGCCCATACAGTACCCAGTGTGGACTCACTGGGGACAGTGGATGGACTGAGCCCTTCCTCTATGGCTGGGGGTGACTCTCATCCAGCTGGAGCATGTCGACTGCACCCTAAATATGAGGGTTGATGTAAACTGAAGCCAGGCAGGAGGTGCCCCATGTTGGCCAGAGAAAAAAATCCAGGGCTCCACAGTTTCTTAGGCAAGATGCATCCAACCAGCAGGGCCCTGCCAATCCCTGGCACCCTATGCGGCAGTTGTGCTTGCAGTTCCTGGGACAGAAACTGTGTGCCCTTGTGAAAGAAGTTAATTGGTTCCAAAGCTCATTTTCTGGCTAGAGCTGAGCAGTAGCCCGGTAGTGTTGCTAGGTCCTATGACCCTGGTTAGGATCGTGGGATAAGGAAGCATCTCCCTGGAGCCCTGTGGGGGGATGGGCTCAAGCCCAGCCAGTGCTGGCCAGATTGTAGCTTCCCTAGCCAGTGCCCAGCAAGCTGCGTGCCAGCAACACACCCACACCTCCAACCTCCTGAGCTGCCACTGGCATGTGGGTGCTCATTGAAAGGTTTCCTTTTGTGTCTTCGCCATAGCAGCCCTGGTGTTCCTTCCAGGCCTGGTGTCTGTGACAGACGGCTTATATAGGAGGCGGGCAAGTGGGCTGACACCACAGAGGCCTCTGTAAAATGGAGATGGGTAAGCCTGGGTGAGCGCATCCCACGCCTCATTCATTCAAGTCCCATCTTTGCAGTTCTTTTATCCGTGAACTATGCGTGCTTTTAGCTTACTCCTCTTGAAATGACCCAAGGACAGAGGATTAGGAAGTATGTGATACGAAATGACTTGCTGGGGAGTGGTCAAATTCATACACATTTCTGCTCCAGAGACCAATTTCTGAGGGATGCCAAGGATGGCCAAGTTTTATTTATTTGTTGGAATACATCATGATCAAGGATGTTCTAAGTAAGGCAATGATTTCAGCATTGATCGTGTAATATCCTCTGACCACTTGATTAGGTCACATGAATTTCAACTTGAATTGAAGCCTTACTTTGAGAGTTCCCTCTCATGTGCCAGAGTGTGATGACAGAGTATCACAAATCCCTAAAATTACAGCCAAACACGCATATCTCCACACATTGTGGTTTGTTCACCTGAATTAGAGTTTAGGATACAGTACCAAAAGGGATGCTGGAATATCTGTTTTAGGTCAGAAATTTATGGCTAATTCCGTTCTGGGCCACTGCTATGCAATGACTTACATTTCACTGTAGAGCTTTCACAATTATAGCAATGATCTCTGAAAGACTTTTGTCCACACTGACTTGGATAAATTTTTCTGGAGCTGATGGAGGCTCCAGAGTATCGAACTGGGACTGCAGTAACTCAGGGGGCATAAAATGTCCTTTTCTTTTGGATAAGCGTTCAGAGATGACCTCAAATGACCCGCTCAGATGGACCGTAAGGAGCTTCACCTCAGCCAGCTTCCCTTCCTTCCCCGGCTCATCACGCTTCGCAAGTGCACCATCTTTTCCTTGGATTAAGATGTCTCTGTACACTTTCTTCAGCGCTGAACAGGCTAGAACCACATGCTGTCCTGAGGCTACATCTCTGTTTTAAAAAAAAGCAGAGGGAGAGGAAGAAGTGCTAAAGAATTATGACATTTAAAATACTTGGTGTCAACTCTAGGTTGAGTCCAGTACCACTTCCCTGCAAGCGGAAGGCATTAGAGAATGGTGGTCAAGATTTTAGGCCGCGCTGGTTTTGAGGCAAAGGTCTCCTATCAGTGAACTGAATTATCTTGGGCAAGGTATGCATTTCCCTGACCATCAGTGCATCACCTGTTAAATGGGGCTGCCCATAGAGGACCTGCCCATAGAACTGCGAGGAAGAAAAGGTTTATGGAGCTGGGCACACAGCAGTAAGTGTGTGGTGAGTGTTGGCTCCTGTGGACGCAGGGTATGGCTCAGGTGCCGTGTGTTACGTGTTTTAAGCACTTACATGCTGATACTGTTTGAAGTACTGCTCATGCTTCATCTTGTTAATTCTTCACAATAATCTGTGACTAGGAGCGATTGAACCGCTTTTTCGAGTGAAGAAACAGGCTCACAGAAGCCCAATGGCTAGGATTCCCAGCTAGTGGTTGTGGAGATGTCTAGGTTTGTCTCCGGAACCCAACTGGACTATATGAGTACGTCTGTGGCTGGTCAAAATCATTGCTGGTTATTATATAGAAAAACATTCCATTTCTGGGATCTTTTCTCATCAATCAGTTGCGATTTCAAGGGTCTATTTTTTTCCTGTCCTTTCTGATGGGTCTTCTTTACTCACAGGCTTATGCCAAGGCCTGATGCTCTTACCTTAGTAAAATTTCATGCAAGTTGCACAGCCATGGAATCCTGTCCTGAAATTAAAGCAAACAAAAGTGACTTTTCCAGGTATTGTTTGTACCAAAACATAGCTCATCTTTTTGGCTAATGTTAAGTCCAGAGAGACCTGAGTGGTTTTGAGGAGGCCATACACAAGGCACTGGGTCAAGTCACTGGGCAGTTAAGCATAGAAACATTTTCCCGGTTCAGGCACCAGGGGCTCTTTTCTTAATAACGAAGCTTGCCCTGAAACTCCAGGGTATGTCTCCCCCATCTCAGCTCCCTGTTGTACGTGTTTTCCCTGGTTCTAATGTGATCACAGGTCTCCGTTGGTTGTACTGCATGATTCTCTAGGTGCCTCTGATCTCAAATGCAGGGAAGTATTCCCAGAAATCCTATGGCCAGCTACCCTTCCTTCAAACCCTCCTGAACTAAAACTCTAGTCAGGTAAAATCATCGTGAGAAATTTGTTTTTCCAAAGACAAGACAGAGGACATTTACACTGGGACCCTACAGTGTTTCACAGGGACATCCTCCTGAGACATGTTTTCCTTCCGGGGATAAATGCTCATCGGCCGTAATGCACTTAAAAAGAAGCTTTTTATTAATAAAAATTTCAAAGACAAAAACAGACAAAATAGCACAAAACAAACTTCTGCGAACTTGTAGCACAGCTTCAACAGTCACCAACTACATCTCATTTCACGGTTTACCCCCGCTAGGTTCCCGCTGTGCTCTCATCCTTCGTTATTTTGATGCATGTTCCAGAAACATGATGCATGTTAAAAAGTCCTTGCTTTTACGTATTTGGTTAGTATGGTTTCATTTAGGATTTCTGCATTTATGTAATGGAGACCTCCAGCTTTTCTTCTTGTACAGTCCATATTAAATTTTGACATCTAGGTTATCCTAGCCTCATAAAATGAGTAGCTTTCCCTCTAATTCTATTTTTGTATATTGCATACCATGTTATTGTTATGGAGTGAACATTTGTCTCCCCCAACTTTAACAAGCTGAAGCCCTAACCTCCCAATGTGATGGTGTTGGAGGTAACTAGGTTAGATGAGGTCATGAAGATGATGCCCTTGTGATGGGGTTAGTGCTCTTCTAAAGGGAGACCTGGGAGCTACTGCTCACACTCTCTTGCCTCGCCCAGGTGAGAGCACAGTAAGAGGGCAGCCATCTGCAAGCCTGGAAGAGGGCGCTCACGAAGAATCTGACCATGCTGACATCTTGGTTTGGATCTGAGCTTCCAGCCTGCAGAACTGAGAAATAAATGTCCATTGTTTAAGCCAACCATCTGGGCCTGGGCCTTTTTTGAGGGGAGGTCTCCAATTATAGATTCTATTTCTTGAATGAATAGTTATATTCAGGTACTCTATTATTGATTCAATTTTGGCACCTGCAACACTTGAGGTAGCAGGAAGAGACTACACGCGCAGGCAGATCTCTGGATATTTCTGATTCTTGTGCCAAATGCAGCACCAGCAAGGTCACGGTTTCACTGTGGGGGAAGGCAGACCCTTGTGTCCCTGAGCATTGTCTCTGCCATCAGGCCGCTGCTACCCAAGCCCATTTTCCCACAGTAATTTGCTTTTCAATGAAATTGTCCAATTTTATCAGTCTTCAAGTTTACCGACATAAGCTTGTTCATGGCCTGCATTTCATTCCTAATCGTAACTGTACTTTTTACTCTCCTGACCAGTCTTGCCAGGGATTTGTCAAACAATTAGTTCTGCTCATCACCTAGTTTTATATTTCATTAATTTCAGCACTCATTTCTATTTCCTATTATCACATTCTTCCTTTTAGCTTATTGGGGTTTTTTCCCTACTTGAACACTTGGCTCATTATTTTCCATTCTTATTTTTCCAAAAGTGCATTCAGAGGCTGTTTCTTCCTTTGTAGTGTTTCAACTGCATCCCACAAGTTTTGGCTGATGGCATTTTTGTTGTACATTTCAAAATATTTTATATTTCCATGTTTAATTTACACATTCCTTATGAATGTTGATTTTCATTTTCCAACTTTATTTTTACAGCTTCTGACCACTTTAGTGATTTGTGAGACTATGCTGCTGGAGTTGATGTTCAAGGTCATCTCACTCCTGACAGTCCCTACACGCAAGGGTGAGAGGGGGAATGGTGTATCCCCCTCCCCCCGCACTAGCCTGGTGCTTAGAAGCAGTGGGCACAATGAATGTTCCACTGAGAGTTAAGTCAGGATGTCATGAGGACAGAGAAGGGTTCCTGGGCCTATGGTTCCGGTGATCTGATGGAAACATCTAGAGAAATAAAGTATCCTCCAGAAAGGGGGGGGGTAGTTAGAGGGAGGGGGGAAATGGAGCTCCAAGGGACAGACAGAGGTGGCCTGCGTCCAGTTCTGGCAGGGGAGGCAGAGAGGGCGATGAAAGAGTGGGAAGGCAGCAGAGAGGAAAAGAACCAGTCTCACCCCATGTGAAAGTGAATTTGAGACCATAAAGAATGCATGTAAAAAGTATATATTTTATATATAAAAGGGAAAACCTCTAAAATTCAATCAGTAGGTATTTTTGGAAGATGAAACCAAAGGTGATGTATTCTGTGCATTGTTCAGTACTTTCCAAAATTCCTATACAGAGTAAGTGTCACATTTATAACGAGGAAAAAATTCCTCTTTTAAATACTTTGAAGTTGAAGTCTGCTCAAGTGTGACTGCGGGCTGCCAGGACAGCGTGGGGGCTCACTGCCTGGAAACTCGCAAATTCTTTATCATCAGCATGCTAATAACATGCCTTTCCAGACAGCACTGTCCAACAGAGCTTTCGGCTGCATTGGAAATGTCCTCTGTCTGCACCGTCTGGACTGGTAGCCACCAGTCACAAGTAGCTGCTGAACACTTGAAATGTGGCCCTGGAGCCCAGGAACTGGGGTTTACATCTCACTTATGGAAACAGCCTTAAGGAGAACTTGGCATATTCACCTCTGGTTCTTGTCTTCATGCCTCAGCCCTCTGAGCACAAAACCCTCCCAAAACTCTCCCAAGACTCTACCCCAGGCAGAACCCCTGCCTCTGCCTAGGACTCTCTAGTTGATCCTCCTCACGATATCAAAGGGGCGGGGCTGGTTGCCAGGTGACCAGGAGGGGTGACCCTGCTAGCTCAGCTCTGACCTGCGCCTTCACTCTGAGACTTGCTGGGCTTCTGTCAGGAAGGCAAACCATCTGCGGTCCTACCCCTTGCTCTGTTCTGCCTCTCTCTCAAGTCTGGCTGATTCGCACAGTTTCTCCTAAATATATTCAGGGACTCATTAAGTTTCTTCCAGTAACTGATAACCATGTCTTGGGTATGATAAATTCCTCTTCTGATTCCTACTCCCCCACCCCATCCATATTGTCCACTAACAGGGCTCGCCCTTGAACACAGGAAGGGCATGTAAATGCCATTTTAAAGTCTGCCCATTTGGGTTGCTTTACTTTGGTCTTTAACTTAACTCTTACGTGCAGCTCAGCAAGGAGAAAGATGAGACTTGCATGGGCACATCTGACACACTACAGAAATGGTTCGCATTACATACACATGTCTATACAGGGATGATATTGGGAACAATAATAAATGAAAAGTGATACTGAATACTTTGAGTACTGATCTGTGCATTTATTTTAATTATCTCATTTAATCCTCCCAAGAACTCAATGAAATGGTACAATCCCTACTTCAGGGGAGGAAAATAAGGTGCAGAGAGACAAACCCATTTGCCGAAGGTCACACAAGCTTAGTGTTAAGGCTCTGTTATCTGTATCATTATCTCTAGATAGTTATCTCTAGTATGAGTGTTACGTATGAGTTATCTTGTATGGTTCACTTCCTATCTTCTCAAGTAAAAGGTTGTGAATTTATTTTGTTGGTTCAAGGCTTGAGTCATTGTGAACTCAAGCCGCACTCACTGACAGAGACGTGCACTATTAGAATGCTGCAGAATCTGCTAACGGGGCACTGACTCAAGTTTTCAAGGCAGGACAAAGAGAAGAGTGAGATGTTGGGGGCACAATGGGCTGTGAGCCAAGTTCACAGGAAGTGAAAACAACAGTGCTGATCTTTGGCCAGTTCCATGCCGTCCTGTCCTTTGGACACATCTGGCATGTGGGCCTGGCCGGGGCCCCTGCTCTGTGGACCCAGACCTTGACCCTGTCATCACAGTGTCCCTAAGATAGCTTAGTCAATGAATCCACAGTTTGTAAGTCTGGCTTGAGAGACACCCGTAGGAAATGGCCTCGTGAAGGTGCATATACAAATGGAGGGTGGCTATGCATTCATTCCTCCTCTCCTTCATTCATTTATTCACAAATCTGCCACAAATATTCTCTGACATTTACTCTGTGTCAGGCCTTGGGGATGTACAATGGTTAACAGAAATGGCCACAGTCCCTGCCCTTTTGGAGGTAAAATTTAGTTGCACAGATAAATATTACTCTAATTCTCACACCATCACATGCCAAGCTGCAGGTGGGACAAGGGCAGTAAGGGATATGTCGCGATGAGAGTTTACTATATGAGGTTTTACTTTAGTGGGTCAGGGAGGGCTTCCTTGCAGAAGTGGCACAGGAGCTGAGACGTGAGGGATGAGTGGGGCTAGCTCGGTGGCCAGGCAGTGGACCAGCAGGTACAAAGGCTCTGGGAAGGAGCATGGCAGGAGGACCTGAAAGGGGCCATGGTGGCTCCACAGGAGGTATGGAGGGGTGCATGGCAACTAAGGAGAGTAGACAGGGTCAAGGTCATTCTGGTCTAACCACACATGATTAGGCATTTAGGCATTTGGTATTGACCCTGAGATTGGTGGGAAAATTCCAAAGGGCCAGATTTGAATTTGCAAAGATCACTCTGGCTTGGGGTAGATGCCAGAGTCTGGTGATGGTACAGGCTGACAGCACCTGGGAAGGGAAGATGAACTTCCCCACATATGAGGTCCTTTCAGGAATGACATTCTGCACATTAAAATTCTTCTACAAAGTGTTCTGGTAGACCCTGCCCAAGCTGGGGCATCGCTTCTGATGCTGAGGTAACAGAAGTTCAGGGCCAAAGCTAATATTCGCTGAGGTCCCACTGTCTGCCTGGATCATGGAGCACTGTCCCCGAGTTATATCATAACTTAGGAGCTGAACTACACCAAGCATTGCAAAGATATGAACCTGCACCACTCAGCTGGAATATGTGTGTTGGAAACAGCGAACATTACCTGGTCGTTCAGCGGAATCCCTTTCCCCATCTTTATTCGATTTTCTTCTGGGTGATAGTCATCTGCATCATAGAATTTCCATCCTAGCTTTAAGAACAAAGGGAATGATTGTGTGTGGCAGGCAGTGCGGCCCACCTGCCAGCTGCTCACCACCAGTAGCCCAAGGGCCACCGCCAGTGCAGGAGGGAGGTCTGGGATGCCACGTCAAGATCCCCGCTCATCGGCCGCTGCAGCTCCTTTTTCCATTCATTGTGGTTCATAATCACCAGAGGAAGACAAAATTGCTCCAGTGGTTTTCACAAACCTTGCGCAGGTACTCCGCTGAGTTTTACAAACCACCACAGGCCAGAAGAAAGGGTGGGCAAAGGGAGAGAAATAGGAGATGACAGAATGGTACTCGTAACGGGGGGTTATTAGGGCCGGTTACCTCGGATGCCAGCAGGGCGCCCACGGTTGATCTGCAGAAAGGACACAGGTGTTCAAACGACTGCTCCTGACTGCTCTTTACTAACCTGCGCGGCGCCTCCTTCTATCCAGGGGTGGCTGCCCAGCTGGTATTAAAATACTAGTAACTTTATGATGTTGAAGGAGTGAGAGTGATGCTCCTGACCTTGCAGTCTAGAGCCTGGCCCTAGTTTCCTTCAGGACTTTAAATGACATAATGACCCAGTTACCAGTAATTTCCCCCCACCAAAAGCAATATGTAAGATCTCATTGAACTCCCTGTGTTTTTTTCTGCTCTATAGATGTTTATTTTTTGAGAAAAATACTGAATAGTGGGATCAAATAGATCTTGAAATTATCCTTGACTCCTCCCTCCCGCTCTTACACCCTACATCCAGTCCGTCAACCCATCTTTTTGGCTCTGCCTTCAATATCCCTCCAGCATATGGCCCTTCTCTTCATCTGCATTGTTCCTCCGACCTCATCTCCCACCACTCAGCCACACTGGCTTCCTTGCTGGTCCCAGAAGAAGCCAAGCCTCAGGGTCTTTGCACCTGCCCCACCTCCCCCTGCCTACAATGCCCTTGCGCCAGCTATCAACGTGGCTTATTCCCTTGCTTCTTGTGAGTCTTGGTCAAATACCACTTCCTCTGAGGAGCCTTCCCGGACCATTCTTCCTGGCTCTTTGTTCTACTATCTCTCCTATATTTTCCTCCAGAGCACCACCCACCACCTGCCACACCAGACACATGTTTGTTCACTTACTGCCTGTTGCCCATAGTAGAGTATAAACTCTGTGAGGGCAGGGCGGGTTTTAGCTGTCCTGGTTACTGTGTCCAGTCAGTGACACTGAGTAAGGATTGAGTTCAATAACTACTTACTGAGTGCATCAGTATCATGACCATAATTGTAATGGTAGAAATCATCTGGTTCAGAACCTCCTACTCCGATTCCAGGCGGAGACGGGTGCTGCCCAAACTCACACAATCGAGCAGGCAGAACCAAGACCAAGGGCTCCCATACATGGCGCCAGTCTCACATTCTCAGCTTCTCGACTCATGCATTAGTTAGGGAGTCTCCGCCAACACGTTTTATTTTCATTTCAGTTAAGGTTCCCCAAATTATTTTAACTTCTCAAGATTTAAAGCTAAAAATGCGCAATAATTTTGGAAAGCTAAACCTGCCCACCTAGGGCAAGAAAGAGTCTGTAATATACACCTGACCACACCGGCAGTTCCTGATCCAGAGGATTGTGGGCCTTGGAAGGTTATGATATTTTAGTTAAGTTCTGTTTTTTTGCTGCCTCTGGTGGCATGCTGTAGAGGCTGTCATTCCTGATAAAGGGCAAAGTTCGATTTTGGTTTAATCAAAAGAAAGGCTGGCGCCCTCAGCCCTCAAGCCCGCCAGCCAAGAGGCTTTGAGGCAGCCAGGATCCCTCCTGCCTCCCAAGCCCTCCGGGGCCTCTCTCCGTGTTAACACTGACTTCTTCCAGCTGTAGCTAGTAAACTGATCAAAGACGGGGAAACAAGGTTAAATTCACGTTCCAAAATCTAATCAGAAAGCCCGGGGCCTCGCAGGAGGGAGCTGCTGCTCTACACAGCCTGACAAAGGTCTGCAGAAGCCTGGGACCAGGTTTGCCCCCGCGCTTCGGGCTTTGCATCCTCCACCTTGTTCTGACCCCACCCCCGAAGACCGCCCCTGTGACCGTTCCAGCCGCTCCAGGTGCCCCAGCCGCTCCAGGTGCCCCAGCCGCTCCAGGTGCCCCAGCAGGCGCCTCTTTACAAGCGGCCTCCCAGTGGATGCATGGAGCCCCCCGGATCTCGACCGTGGTGCCGCGCCAGGTGCCCGGGGGCGAGCAGGCTGGAGGGTGGGGAGAGGGAGCAGGTGCCCTGAACTTCACTTTACTGCAAAGCGGAGGGAGGTTCCCAGGGCCGCCCGGTCGCCGTGGGAACGGAATGAAGCCCGGTTTGGCTTCCGCCGTGCCTCCCCCTCCCCCCGGCCGCCCCGTGCCCCGGCCGTCCCGGACCTACTTTCCTGAGCCGCTCACGCCCATGACCAGTATCGCTGCAGGCGCCGCCATGGCCCCAGTCCAGCTCCTTCCCGCTGCTTCCGGGGCCCCGGCGCCGCCTTCCCCGCCGCCGAGGGCGGAGCAGCAAGAGGGCCGGGCGCTAGGCCTCCGCAGACGCGCCCGTTCCCCCTCCCGGGCGCGTCCCTGGCTAAACCTGGGTCTGCGGCGGTGGGTCCGAGAAGCCTGCGAGGGTGGGGTGTGGGGGCGGGAAGCCGGCCCGCAGCCCCTCCTCCTGCCACCTGCGGTCTTCTGGGTCCCTCTGCGCTGCTGGGGCCTCGCCCTCCAAGGCCAGACTCTCCTGCTCCTCCAACACCAGATGGAAATAGATTTGATTTATTTAAAATGTTATTGTAGCCCTCCCTGGCCGGGTAGCTCAGTTGTAGCGTCGCCCCAGAAGGCCAGAGTTTTCGGGTTCGGTCCTCGTTGGGGCGCATACAGGGACGCATGGATGGATGGGTGGAGCAACAAATTGCTGTCTCCTCTCCCACTGTCCCCCTCTTCCCTCCTCTCTCTGTCTAAAAAAAATCAATAAATTAAAGAAATTTAAGATGTTATTATAAAAAGAATAAACAGATAAATGCACACTTTCTCGCACCATGTAGCAATAAGTATCCATTTCCCGAATGATCCCTCCTCCTCCGTAGGTAGACGAGTTTGAGTATTTTATGAAATTGGGATCATGCTGTACATGGTGTTTTGTAACCTGGCAATTTGTCACAATAATGTGAGGAGGACATCTTTTGCTGTCAAATATAGATGAGATGAGACCATACTTGTACATGTCATGGCTGCAGGCCTCTGCTATTTCATCTGCTCCTGTTCTCTTGTAAATTCCTTAAGGGGAAGGAGCACCTCTTTGAAGAGCCGATTTGCTTTGAAACAGTATGTTAATTATAGGATCTAACCTGCTTACATGAACAAGTAACACCCGTGGTGTACAGTGATGAATCAGGGCGCTGGGCCGGAAGTTTTTGTGGGAAGTCTCCCTGTCATTGGTCTACAAGTTGAACATGTTGCACCACCTGTGACTGAGGGGAATGTTCCTGCTCTCTTCATCCTATATAATAATGACGTTGGGCAAAAACACTCTTCACTCTCTGTGTGTACAACCATATTATGCAGTGTGGTTCCTGCATTTCGTCAGGTGTTTAGAACTGACAGCCATCAAGAGGCGGGTGGTTCGGTTGTGTCATGGTTGCCCACAGGATATGGATCTAGTTCAAGTAGAATTCGATGTAGTGCATTGCAGCCACACCTGTGATGAACCCCATTGCCTTGGACTCTGCCACACCACTGTGCACAAGCTCGTGGCTTTGTATCCAGACTCCAGAGATAGTTCACACTGAAGAGCTGTGGAAAACCAGTTTAACGTGTTCAAGGCTGCAGCTAGCCTGAGCATCATGCATGCAAATTATTCCCCATTAGATACATCGTCATATGTAGCAAATATAGCCACTTACAACTGGTCCCATCAGCTGCTAGTCAATATTTGTCCACAAAGTTGGTGGTATAGCCCAGCCATTTAGGTCCATGTTCATAAGGTAGCCCAAGCAGCACAGATGACTTCCCTCACGGCCATCAGCACATTTCTCAAGGAAGTTGACTCAGCTCTTATTCTAATACCTGGAGTTCTAGATGAGATACTGAAATTTTGTGAGTCATAGAGACACTTGGAGCAAGAAGTTGGACCCGACTGGCTTCTGTATGCCAAGGCTACACATCACCCAGAAGCTGCCAAGGTGACCCCATCTGCCTTCCCAAAACTTGCATCAGAGATGAGTGCCACAGTGAAGAATTACTGGCAAGGTTGTCCTGTCCCAGATGGAATACCTGACACAAAGCTCCAGGATGCATTTTGCAGGAAGCTCAAGAAAACAGGGCAGTCGACATTTACTGATGAGCAGTGGGCCATCCTAAGATCATGGGGTATCACTCAAGACATCATAAATACTACGCTTGGATCATGCAAGAGACACAGAAATGAGTCTCCTACTTCAGTGATCATGGGTGATTATAAATAAATAAATAAATAAATAAAATATTTGATTAGAAACACTCTCCATGACATTTTGCTCAATCTCCTTCATTACCCAAGTTCATATTACTTGGCACCCTTGAAACAATAAAGCTGACATATTTCAGTTGCCCCTGCACTGACTTTGTTTTTCCTACTTAGGCAGAGTAGGTGAGAATTCAGTGTTCCCAGATGTTGCAGATGCAGAAATTGAGACCTGTGGAGAGGAGGTGGCTGGTCTAAGACCCTATAGTTCACTTATGGTCAATGACCATTTCTTGAGCCTCGACCAGCCAGGGGACTCCGAAGATGAGCCTTACCCCCCAGTTGTTTCCAGGCAGGCAGGGGGAGTTGTGTGAGCAAACACTGTAACTTGTGCTCTGCTTTACCAGCTCTGGTGAAAAAGTTAGTTCTCATTTCTTTCAAGGTTCAAGTCAAAACAGTTAAAGTCTGGTTCATCTCCCCAGATTTCCCCTTCCCTCAAAATGTCCAAGGGCCTCAGATTTGCAGAATTAGTGAAGGTGGTGGAAGGAAACAGCACCCCCAAGCTGGGTCTTTGCAAAGGGTTTAACAAAGGGGCTATTTACGGAGATGGGAGATGCAGGCAGGGTCAGTTAAAGCAACAAGGGGCAGTGTGTTAGTGCCAGTAATGAGGGGCTGGGAAGGGGTGGTGGGAGGAGCCTTTATAAAGAGGACAGAGAGAGAGAGAAGTCTTAGGAAGAGAGACAGACATCCCTTGTTGACTCAATGGGCAGGGAATCAGAAGAATGGGCGACCTCCCCTCCCCTTCTCTTGCCCTCTGATCTCCTGCTAGCAGCCAAACCCCAATGGCCACACCCAATTGGAAGGCAGAGACCTGGGCAGTCTGTTGAGTTGGCCCAGGCATGCCAATCTCCTGGACACAGCAGGGAAGAGAAGGGCAGAGAGTGTGCCTGATGGGCCAGAGGAAAGACATCCAGTGCTTCTCTGCTCTCATCTGTCAGTGACAGTGATCTTCCACTGATGTGCCACCAGAATTTTTAAAACATGCACTACCTGACTGCTCACTCAGTCGGGGCACTGACCTCTTTTCCCTTAGATTGTCAAATTAAAAAAAAATGCCAATGGCCAACACAACAGCAGCTGTCTGGTGTTCTGAACGAATCAAAATGAAAGATATTTTTTTGTTAGATTGGCAAAAATTATATTTTTTTGGTGTGCTGAAGAATTTTAGTAATTACCCCATATTTTACCATGTATAATGTGCACCTGTGTTTTTGGTCCAAACTTTCAGGGGGAAAAATCTTTCATTTTAATTTTTTAATTCAATTATTTATTTATTTATACTTAGATACTTATTTTTTGTATTATAAAGGAGTTTTAGCATTTATTTTTTAACATTATGGTACAAGAAATTTTATGTAATAAATAACTTGTGTAACAAAACACAAGAACAGATACAAGGTACAAAAAAATTTATGTGCCAGTAACAAGTTTATGATATTCACATATGGCATTAGAACTACCCACGTATAATGTGCACCTTTATTTTTCCCTCAAAAATTTGAGCATAAAAGTGCGCATTATACACAGTGACATATGGTAGTCCATGTGTGCCATGAGATGACAAAGGTTGAAAATAGCTGGTCAGTGAGATAATCCTTTTGTGCATCTAGGATAACAGAATTCAGAGGTGCCCCTAAGAAGTAAATTTGACTTTTTGGGGGGGAGGGCTTCCAGAGAGTGCCACCTGCTGCGACTCATGGACAACCCCGAGGCTGCACATGGGTTTGGTGTGAAGTCCTGACTGTCTACCGCAGGCCCTGCTGTACCAGCGGAGGCCCATAGTGCCCTGGAGACCGGGAGACCCTCAGTGAGGCACCGCTTCCTGCATGAGTCACTGCAGTGCGTGGCTCTGGCTCAGGGAGCACAGCTGGAGGGCTAGCAGCCTCTAGGTGAGAAAGCCCCTGCTCAAACAGTCAGCAGTGAGAAAGGGTGTCTGAGAGGAAGCACTTATGAGGAATGCAGGGAGCCTTTAGTTTCCAGCACCCTCCTGGCTTTCTGTTTGCAACCATCTCAAACTTCCCCACCTTTTCTGGAGTCTTAGATGAAATCACCCTCTGTCCACAGCCTCCTTCCCTCTCTGCAGGTGATTTATTTCAGTTCTCCATTGGCTTCCTCCCACCTTTCCTTTAAGAAGGTATTGCTGCGAGTTTTGGGTCTTAGGACACTTTTGTACTCTGAGAAACTTAAAAATATGTATTAATTTGTTTAGAAATAAAAATGACAAACCCATTGCATACTAACATAGCACATTTTAGGAAATATCTGTACTTTCTAAAACAAAAACTATTCATGAGAAGAGTGGCATCATTTCACATTTTTGGCAAACCTCTTTCAGGTCTGGATTAATAGAACACTGGAAAATTCTTATACCTGCTTCTGCATTTGACCAATATGTTTTGTTTGAAGTATATGAAGGAAATGTGGCCTCATGTGGACGTGTACTAGAAATAGGGCAGGGAGTGGGTGAGTATAAAAGCCTTTGAAGAGAGCTGTCCAAATTCTTCTTTAATATCCTTGATCAGTGGTAGTTTCTTCAAGTCTAGTTCCATTGTGGAAACCATACCAATGAACTCTTTGTACTCTTACATTAAAATTCCTTCACTAGCTCATACCTTGAATGGACCTTTTGCCCATGACTTTGTAACCTCTTGCACTGATCACTTGGAAAATATTGGTTCCCTGTTGCAAATCATCTAACTGTTGACACACTTCATTATACAGTATGTTTTTTAAATTGCCTTTGTAATATTACCATCAATCTCATCAGAAAGTCTGTAAGTCTTGGGAAGCTGTGAAGCACTCAAGGAACCTCAGGATTCTGTGGACCTCACTTTGAGAACTGTTGCTTTGAGTTGTTTGTTAACTGCTGACAGGCCCTTAGCTTCTGTTCTCATTATGTTTTTTTAACCAAGCCTGAGTTAAAGAAGATGGGGTTTATAACTTTTCCCCTACAATTTACTTTGTTAAAGGTTTGTCTTCTCCACTTTACTCTTGTCTCCGTGTCTGTATCCTTAGCATCTGGTGCTGTGCCTGGCGTAGGGGCACAGTAGATGTTCAAATACACTGTTAAATTAA